CGCGAACCCTGTCGCGATTTATGGGGCCGCGCTCTTTTATTCGGGACCGCGCGCCGTAAACTACATGTAAACCGACTTGTTGTATATTTACCGCTGCTCATAGTGCCGTGACAATGAGTGCATTCATTTTTAAATTATTCGCTCCAGAGGCCGCTGTATAGCGAAAAAAAACCGGCCCGCGCACGCACACGCCGTTTTTAAATTTTTGCCGGCCGCGGTTACTTTTCGCTGGGGCGTGCGGCTGCGGGGTCATCAAAAAGCAAATATTTATAGAGCCAGGACAAAAGCAGATCCCGGTAATAAACCTTTACTTTGTCAATTTACAGGGCCATAGTTGCGATACAATTGCGCTAATTATATACAAACAGGATCTCAAATGTCGCCGTTATGAAGCTAATAGCAATTGTTGCAGCGTCTATTATACTTGCGACAATGGCAACTAGCGAACCGACACAATGCATCCTAATTTATGGAATAACGGCTTAAATTGTAATTACTATGGGATTGTGCGCGTCCGGTATCTTCGGCTGCATTCCGCCCGGGGAGCGCTCGTTCGGTTCTGTTTGCGCGCGGGGAAGGAGGCGGCGACGGCTTACGCCCACTTTCGCGCTTCCGGCAACCCTCAAGGCTGTGCTTCGGGAACGGCTGCACGACCGCGCATGGGCTCTGCCAAGGGAGCGCTGTCTTCACTGTCAATGCGTGTGAGGGAGCGTTGTTAATGCGGTTTAGTGAGTGCACGCTGTCTTGAGTACCGTTTCCCATGCGACCTTCATCGCTTGCTTTGTCTTCCCGTTGAGGATTGTTTGCGAGTAATTTTGTCAATTTATTTTTCGACAAAACGTTTTGTAATTGTTTTTAGTAGGCAATTTTGTGCGGTATGTTTGATGTCAAATGTTTGCTCATTTTTCCCTGTGAAACAGCAGTAAATGAACGCTTTTAATGCGAACTAAAGTGAATAGAAACAATGTATACATTTTAAACGCTGCTTAATATTGTATAATTTATATTGCAATGAACTATGCATTTTACATGCAAATATGCAGTTTCATTTGTATTAAAATGTATGGTATTTAAATATTTCATTGTATTATAATGCTCTTAAATTTGTGTTCTGATTGCGTCAACATGCGAAGTCTAGTTTGATATTTACTCTTGGCCGTTCTATTGCATACGTTTCAGGAAGCATGTTATTTTATGAAGAATATATTTCGTGATCATAAGGGTCAGGTTGCATTCGTCATTTGGTCGTTTCCACATTGCAACACATCGAAGGTTTCGAGTAAATTGCATGAATATATTTTAAACTTGTCATTTCATAAGCATGAAATGATAGTATTCCATAATCTGAATCGGCTTCTTTTCCTTCAATATTGTGACGATTTCAGAGAAAATTGGAAGTGATGAAAAGGTAGAACGAAATGAGTGCATTATCCTAGTGGATTTATTATTATTATTATTATTATTATTATTATTATTATTATTATTATTATTATTATTATATTTACTAGTCAACTCCCTTCTCAAGATCTATGTTTCTTTTATTTTTAAATACACTATATTCGATACTATAATGATAAATTTTTCGTTTTAAATTACTCAAGCTTCGTAATAAAAAATGTTACCATAAATATTACATTTACATAATATTTTCTTGAAATGAATAGTGTGGTGTGACATTAAATACTTATGAACGATATTTATACTTATCCACAAAAATATTTTTTTTAAACTTTTAGCACGTTTGTATTTGGAAACGTCTAGTGAGAGCGCGGAATCTTAGACAACTGTATGACCTGTGACATGCGAACTTGATATTGGAGAGTGTTACGTATGTATGAATTAATGAATGAATACTTGTGCTCATACCTGTGAGGGCAGACAAATAAATCGGTTTGTGTTTCGCGAGCCAACTCTTTAACTCTTGTAGTCGCTTGAGTATTAATGTCCGATTTAAATATAGTCTTGTGACAGATCATCAGCTGAACGTGTTTTTCCTATCAGGAGCGTCGTTCTGACTTTAATTTATGGTATTGAAGCTCCCGTTCTCGATTTTGAGTTACCGTTCTGTGATTGGTTCATTTTCTTTTGTCTTGCGTAAGCATAAACACAGAAGCTAGAAGCTTGCAAGCTTTTAAGTTGACGTCTTACTCGTTATGCGTATCCGAACACATTGTCAATGAGTCCGCTTCTGGACTTAGTCCTAACTTCAATGTTAACGCCACGCATATGTTTCTGTGTGCATTGTGAATGGGCCTTTGGGAGCGGCTGGAGGGCATTCGCGGCCACCCGCGAGACTCCTGCCGGCCGCCGCGCGAAGCTTCGGCGCGCGGCGTCGCGGCGCCAGCGCCACGGGCGGCCGGCGCGCGCGGCTGTTTCGGAGGCGTCCTCGCCC